CACAGAAAGCCACAGACTCACAGAGACCCACAGACACACAGAGACCCACAGACTCGCACAGAGACCCACAGACTCACCACACGGAGAGCCACAGACACACAGAGACCAACAGAAATAACACGAACACAGATTATTGGGTGATAGTGACGTTGGCAGCAGTGCATGAAGCACATTTTTCAAAAAAAAGAACTCAACTCTTCCGTCAGTAGCGCTGTGCTGTGCACGCGGACTTCAAATTAAATATCTATTCACGAGGCAACGTTTCTAGCAATAGCCAGCGATCTAAAACTAAACTACGCTTGGCATCACACACAGCAGGCTTTCAAAACCCAATATTATCCACGAGAGAGGTTTTTGGTTGGTGAGATCGCGTTAATATGTGTCGTTAAATACGCCACCACCACCCAGATTTGCACGGTCGTAAGCGCGCAAGCAAGCAAGCAAGTGAACTTAATATAAAGGATTTAAATAAAAAACGACCGAAAGATTTGCACGGTCGTAAGCGCGCAAGCAAGCAAGCGAGCAAACTTAATATAAAGGATTTTTAAAAAATCGATCTGCAGTGGCGTCGTCATCGTAGTAAACCAGACACTGGGCCGTCCATTGTATTTGAATGCCGCACGAACTGGCGGTTGTGGTGTTATCGGCGGATGTGTTGAGTTCCATTTTTTTAGAATAAGTAAGCGAATAGAAACGTGGAACAACGAAAAAACTGCTGCGTCCGGGGAGAAATCAAAAGCGCGCACACGCACACGTCAACAAGTGTTGAAATAAAAATACATTTCCTCCGTAAGGAAAGTTTTGAGAGCTGTGACAAGTACTCTGTGTGTGTGTGTGTCGTCGTGTTACGGGAATGGATCTAACGAGGTGGGAACGCGATGGAATAAGAGAGCCTCATCAATGGCTATGAAATCGGTAAAGTGACAACTGACAAACGTGTGTGTTTGTGTGTATGTTGAGCTTATTCTTGGTGCTTTCGGTAAAGTCACTACGTAGAAGGGAAATATTAAAATAATAAAAATAAAACAATAAAATAATTCTCACGACGTTTCGGCCACAACGCAAGCAGCCGTCCTCAGGTTAAGAACAGGTCTGTCGGGAAGACATCGTCATTCACATCATCAACATCATCATCAACATCAACATCATCATCTACATCATCAACAACATCATCAACATCATCATCTACATCATCAACATCATCTTTTTTTTTCGGATTTAAAGCTTTCGTGACTGCAGGGATTCATCTTCTTTGTTCTTTCGGTAAAGTCGCGTAGAAGGGAAATAATAAAATAATAAAAAATAAAACATAATAAAATACAATTCTCACGACGTTTCGGCCACAACGCAAGCAGCCGTCCTCAGATGTCAGCCTGTACAGCCACCAGCCTATACAGACAGTCCCCGAGTTACGCCAATAGTCCCCGAGTTACGATGACTGTCCCCCGAGTTACGGTTTTAATCCCCGAGTTCCGATGCCAGCCCCCCGACTTACGCCTGTAGTCCCCGAGTTATGATGTTTGTCCCCGAGTTACGTTTGTTGTCCCCGAGTAACGACGGTAGTCCCCGAGTTACAGTTGTAGCCCCGAGTTACGATGGTAGTCCCCGAGTTACGGTCGAAGTTCCCGAGGAACGATGGCAGTCCTCGAGTTGCGACGGTAGTCCCCGAGTTACAACGCTAATCCCCGAGTTACGACGATAGTCCACAAGTTACGACAATCCCCGAGTTACGATGTTAGTCCCCGAGTTGCGACGCTAACACCCGAGTTACGTCGGTAGTCCCCAAGTTACGATGGCAGTCCCCGAGTTACGACGGTAGTCCCCGAGTTACAGTTGTAGTCCCCGAGTAACGACGGTAGTCCCTGAGTTACGGTTGAAGTTCTCGAGTAACGATGACAGTCCCCGAGTTACGTCGGTAGTCCCCGAGTTACGACACTAACACCCGAGTTACGTCGGTAGTCCCCAAGTTACGACGGTAGTCCCCGAGTTACGACTGCAGTCCCCGAGTTACGACGATAGTCCCCGAGTTACGATGGCGGTCCCCGAGTCACGGTTATAGTCCCCGAGTTACGATGGTGGTCCTCGAGTTACGACGGTAGTCCCCAAGTTACGATGGTAGTCCCCGAGTAACGATAGTAGTCCCCGAGTCACGATGCTAGTCACCGAGTTACAACGGTGGTCCCCGAGTTACGACGTAGTCCCCGAGTTACGATGGTTGTCCCCGAGTAACGCTGCCAGTCCTCGAGTTACGATGTTAGTCCCCTAGTAACAATGGTAAGCCCTGGAGTCACGATGGTAGTCCCCGAGTTACGATATTAATCCCCGAGTTACGGCTGCAGTCCTCGAGCTACGACGGTGGTCCTCGAGTTACGGCGATAGTCCCCGAGTTACGACGATAGTCACCGAGTTACGACGATAGACACCGAGTTACGATGGTAGTCCTCGAGTTACGACGGTCCGACGATATTTCAATCTTACGATGTTGATAGCGATACGACAAAATTGCCATCAACATTCTAACATCGTTCAAGTGTGCAGACGACGGACATAATTTCCGTGAGTCCAGTACAATGTGATGAGACGTTACGATTTCATTTTAAGGTTACCACGATACGTCCAATGCACACACACACACAGCGTTATACACCCCAACCCGCCCCTCGCCCCGCCCCTCTCCCCCCGCGTTTCCGACCGCAACGAACTCGGCTCCAGAGAGGGGTGGTGAGGGGTGAGGGGTGAAGGGTGAGGGGTGAGGGGTGAGGGGGTGAGGGGTGAGGAGTTCAGGGGTGAGGAGGTGAGGGGTGAGGGGTGAGGAGGTGAGGGGTGAGAGGTGAGGGGTGAGGGGTGAGGAGTTGAGGGGTGAGAGGTGAGGGGTGAGAGGTGAAGAGGTGAGGGGGTGAGGGGTGAGGGGTGAGGAGTTGAGGGGTGAGAGGTGAGGAGGTGAGGGGTGAGGAGTTGAGGGGTGAGGGGGTGAGGGGTGAAGGGTGATAGGTGAAGAGGTGAGGGGGTGAGGGGTGAGGGGTGAGAGGTGAAGAGGTGAAGGGTGAGGGGTGAGGAGGTGAGGGGTGAGGAGTTCAGGGGTGAGGGGTGAGGAGGTGAAGGGTGAGGGGTGAAGGGGTGAGGGGTGAAGGGGTGAGGGGTGAGGAGGTGAAGGGTGAGGGGTGAAGAGGGTGAGGTGAGGAGGGTATGGGGGTAGGGGGGGTGGGGTTAGATGAGGTGAGGGGGGTGAAGGGAGTGGGGTTCTATGGGTGAGGGAGGTGAGAGGTGGGGGTGAGGTGGGGGTGAGGGGAGGTTCTATGGGGTGAGGGGGAGTGATGGGGGGGTGATGGGGGGGGTGAGGGGAGGTTCTATGGGGTGAGGGGGGAGGGGTGAGGGGGGGTGATGGGGGGGGGGTCTATGGGGTGAGGGGGAGTGATGGGGGGGTGATGGGGGGGGGGTGAAGGGTAGTGGGGTTCTATGGGGTGAGGGAGGTGAGAGGTGGGGGTGAGGGAGGGGTGAGAGGGGGGGTTCTATGGGGTGAGGGGGGAGGGGTGAGGGGGGGTGGAGTGTCTGAGTGAGCGAGTTGCAACAGCGACTCGTTGAGTTCCCCACGCGTCTCACACCGCGTCCCACACGGCCTCTCTGTCTCCCTGTCTCCCTGTGTCTCTCTGTGTCTGTCTCCCTGTGTCTCTCTGTGTCTGTCTCCCTGTGTCTCACACGGGCTCTCTGTCTCCCTGTGTCTGTCTGTGTCTGTCTCCCTGTGTCTCACACGGGCTCTGTCTCCCCGTGTCTCCCTGTGTATCCCTGTCTCCCTGTGTCTCCCTGTCTCCCTGTCTCCCCGTGTCTCCCTGTGTCTCACACGGGCTCTGTCTCCCCGTGTCTCCCCGTGTCTCCCTGTCTCCCCGTGTCTCCCTGTGTCTCACACGGGCTCTGTCTCCCCGTGTCTCCCTGTGTCTCCCTGTCTCCCCGTGTCTCCCCGTGTCTCCCTGTCTCCCCGTGTCTCCCTGTCTCCCCGTGTCTCCCTGTGTCTCCCCGTGTCTCCACCAGCAGCAGCAGCATCACGATGAGTGACGAGTTGATGAGCGGCTGGCTACGCAAATCTCCCTCCGAGAAGAAACTCTGCCGCGCCGTGAGTGACACCACGACCCGCATTTACGTCGCCTCAAACCCACATTCACGTCGCCTGAAACTCGCATTCACGTCGCCTGAAACTCGCATTCACGTCGCCTCAAACCCACATTCACGTCGCTTCAAACCCACATTCACGTCGCCTCTAACCCGCATTCACGTCGCCTCAAACTCGTATTCACGTCGCCTCAAACTCGTATTCACGTCGCCTCAAACCCACATTCACGTCGCTTCAAACCCGCATTCACGTCGCCTCAAACCCGCATTTACGTCGCCTCAAACCCGCATTTACGTCGCCTCAAACCCGCATTCACGTCGCCTGAAACCCGCATTCACGTCGCCTTAAACCCGCATTTACGTCGCATCAAACCCGCATTTACGTCGCCTTAAACCCACATTTACGTCGCTTCAAACCCACATTCACGTCGCCTCGAACCCGCATTTACTAGTACAGCACTAATGTGTAGTGTGTAGTGTAGTGTAGTGTGTAGTGTATAGTGTAGTGTATAGTGTATAGTAGTGTAGTGTATAGTGTAGTGTGTAGTATAGTAGTGTATAGTGTAGTGTATAGTGTAGTGTAGTGGTGTATAGTGTAGTGTATAGTGTAGTGTGTAGTATAGTAGTGTATAGTGTAGTGTATAGTGTAGTGTAGTGTGTAGTGTATAGTGTAGTGCATCGTCTAGTGTGTAGTGTAGTGTATGGTGTAGTGTATAGTGTAGTGCATCGTCTAGTGTGTAGTGTATAGTGTAGTGTATAGTGTAGTGGTGTGGTCTGGGACTGTTGTTGTTGTTGTCTTGGTGTGTGGTCTAAGACTGTTGTTGTTGTATTGGTGTGGTGTCTGTGTGTCTGTGTGAGTGAGTCTGTGTCTATGCCTGTCTTTGTTGTTGTGTTCG